GAATCCAAACATAGACGCCTACAGAAGAACCGGAATGACACAGAATAGAACAGATTCTGAACTTAGTGCCTGTCTGTTTAGTTAGAACGCTTTTTAAGGTAATGCTAATTGCAACAACATTATACATACCGTGTAAGGCAAAATCGACGTGCATAGCAAAAATAATAAATATATTAATAATGTTAAGCATGTTATAAACAAAAATTCGAAAAAGCAAAATGAAAACCTTCATACGATTTCGCAGATAGTTGATGAAATTGATGACTCCCGTAGTTCTGGGCTGCAGCACGAATTTATAAGCCGTCAGGTTGTTCGATGACGCAAACGAATCGCTTTTGATTTTAGATCTAGTACAGTAGTCCGTACCTTCCGGAAAGATCAGTACCTGTAAAACTAGGAGTTAAGTCTGATTATTTCAAGAACATATCGTACCAAGTCAGATTCTGATATTTTTCAATGGAACATTCTGCGCATTATGTACATAAATTGTTGCTCACTTCTGTCATACAACTAGAGAAGGTAACTAGCTACTTAACAGTTGGCCGCTCAGGGTTACATGTTCATTATGGCCATTTCTACGATGCTCGCTGCAGTAAATTCGAGTCGGCTTACGTGGCTTCTGTGTTAGCATAACCGATTTTCGAAATGTGCTCCTCAGCATCCTGAGATCTGCTGCGGCTTAGGCAGCTAAACCGTGTTTCTGGCTGGTTACTGCTAGCGACCATATTGAACAAAGAAATTTTATATCAGCTTTGCGAGCGCCTTCGACGCACATCATTTGCAAAATGACGGCGTCAATCAAATATTTTTAAGGTCTTCGATAGTTATTCACACTTCGCGTTGTAGATGACTTCGAAATTCAGCTGGAAAATGCTGCGTGCATGGCTTCACTTCTTTTTTCCTTTAAGAACCATCGCGCGTCTTTGCCCTTTTTCTATGGACCTCATATGGAGCGTTAGGTTTATGTCTTACTTGCTTAGATTTTTGGACGTGAGAAGCCCAGCTGAGTTTATTCTCAATAAAACCGCGAGATCACTTGTGCCACGTTCGATGAAATTTTGCTCACTTTCAAATAACTAACAGTAGAATCACGTGAGGGTTGTCGTACCGCTTCCATTAACCCGTGAATGTACGGAACAAAACCATGTTTTTCAGCACAAAAAAATGAAACAAAAATACGCGTTATCAAATAAGCAGGTTGGGCAACAGTTTACACTATTTACCAATAAATCGTGGTCACGAAGCGAACCAAGGTAGGGATGATGGAATCGCACCTTGTCGCCGTGACACTGTAGTCACAGTTTCTGATGACGTACACGTATATGTTACCGTTTATACGGATATGCATTCATATTAATTTGCTTTTCAGTCTAGAATGATAACGTGCGGTTTTAAAGCATTACTGCCTAAGCCTGAGCCTACGCCAAACCAACGGCATTAGAATAAGCTTAATAATAATCAAGCAAAACCGCGGTATTACTGGCTTGCAGTCAATCGCAAATCAGTTTCAGTTCATACCAGTACAGAGTAGCCCATATCAGTATTGACGGATTACACCTCTGGATGGTACATATGCCCCCAAAACAAAAGAACAAAGTTCCTCCTAATCTTTTAATTATTTTCAAGAATGAATATGAAAGACTTTTAGAAACGAATGCGAAACGGTTACTGCCTGATCAATTGGCCGGCCAAAGACCCAAAGGACGGCCAAGAATAAGCTGGAGCAAATATACAAAAGGACTCTGCTTCAGACTCACGTTATTTTTGCCGAAATTCAAACGCTGGCACAGGTTCGAGAATGTTGGAGAAGTCTGTCTCTGAGGAACGAAAGGATAAGCGGTCATCGAAGACTCAATGAATATAAAAGACCTTCCTATCAGCCCTCTTCGTGCTCCAGAATACTTGTATCACGCCCACATTTATCCTTCCATCATCTCAAAACTCCCGACAGACCTGCGCTGTTTCATTTTAAGACGTAACACCGTCAAATCAGCATTATTCTACAACACTGGGACAACTGTTCCAACAAAAACCTGAACACTTGGATAAAATCGTAACTACTTGACGATGAAAGAATGTATTACGTGAAGTGTAGAAAATAATACATAAGTTAGACATGACAGGCAGAAAGCAAAATCTGCAATTACTGGGAAGCCAGTTTACAATTCACTTCCATGCTTTGTAACACCATTTGGCATGTAGCTAATGGTAGGGTGTTTCTTTCCATCACGATGTCTGAATACGATGTTTAAGCTTGACGGCCACTACTACGTCAGTCTCCTGCTTGCTTCCCACATCGTGGCATTCATGTATTTACCTCAGAAGACTAGAAGTGAGATGTCTGTCGCGGGACTATTCGAACCACTGATCTTTAGGCTGCATTTCTGGCTTTCTACAAACTGAATTACCTAGCAATGCGTGCCGAAAGATTCAAAAGATATGAATGTGAGAGAAACAATGGAAAAACGTAACAGAATCGACTGAAGCGTACTGACTTGCCTTTTGCCAGCTGGAAGACGAAAAGGGTAAAACGATTACTGCTTATCGTAAACTACATTAAAAGTACCTGAAAAGGCTGCTTCGTTTTACTGTAGTACAGAGCAGATTTCTCCAGTGTTTCCTTATCTTGATCCCAAGAACGTTCTAGAAAAATGAAGTTCTTGAACTGCATCGCCCAGCCTAAAATTTAAAAAATTTTTTGAT